TCATTAAGATATCTTTGTCATATAAGGCCTGACTTAGCATACAATGTAGGTATGGTAAGTAGATTTATGCAGAAGGCAAAGGTATCACATCTAGCAGCAATGAAGAGGATACTAAGGTATCTAAAAGGAACTTTCGATTATGGCATTTTGTTTCCTGCAGTTGATAAAGGAAAAGAATGCAAGTTAGTGGGATACACTGATTCGAGTTGGTGTAGTGATGCTGAAGATCGAAAGTCAACAGCAGGATATGTGTTTATGCTAGGTGGTGCACCAATTGCTTGGAATTCAAGAAAGGAACCAGTAGTGGCATTATCATCATGCGAAGCAGAATACATAGCTGCTTCTCTTTGTGCATGTCAAGCAACTTGGATGATGAGCTTGGACGAAGAGATAACAGGAAAAAATCATGGAGCAATTACCATGAAGATAGACAGCATGTCAGCTATTAATCTGGCAAAGAACCCAATAGCACATGGTCGAAGTAAGCACATCGAAATGAGATTCCATTATCTTCGAGAGCAGGTAGCAGATAGGAAGATGAATTTAGAACACTGCAGAACTGAGAATCAGATTGCAGACATCATGACGAAGGGAGTGCAAGTCGAAGTATTCAGAAAGCTAAGAGTCATGATGAACATAGACAGTTTAGACACAATGAATTAGGTGGTGTGTTAAATTGTAATTCATAGTGTCAAAGAAGATTTGATTTTTTTTAGATTTAAATAGATTTGATTTAAGTCTGGAATAGATTTGATTTGATTTAGTAACAAAAGGATATTTTGGACTTTGCGCTTAGGGTGTAAGCTCAGTTATAAATAGAGGGAGTAACCCCTATTTTTGTAAGCAAATCATTTACAGTATTTTGCAGTTGCAAAGTGAATAAGAAAGTTTTCCACAGTTTGTGGACAGAGAGAAACTCTGCAGAAATAATTGTCTTGTCTTTTTTTCTTTGTTTGTCTCATAATTAAATTGTCATTGTGGTAGAAATTCATCATAGAATTTAGTGGATTTTCATCGTAGAAATTCCTCATAACATTTGATTATTTTATGTTTTACTTTAGGCAATTTCCTAATACTTTAAGAACGTTAGCCTTATAAAGTCATGTATAAGGTACATACAACACAAATACATACTTGCAGAAAGTGTCTACCAAAAAATCAAATGATTAATAGTCAAAAGCCACAATTCATGGTATCTGAAGATGACTTCTAGAACGGTACCTCGTATAAGAACAATTTAATGAGCATGATAAATTCCACTATTCCAAAACAGCCATGATTTATGAGTTTGCAGACATTATATGAGTCTGCATAGACATTAAAAAAATTGATTGTATATAGCATAAAAAGAGCTTAAAGTTGTTCTGCAGTGCTTATTACCAGCAAGCCTGTGAGAAATATGCTTGCAGGAATCAAGAACATCACAAACCTGAAGCAATCTCATTCTGTCTTGTATTAAAGTCTGAGATTTTCCCATTCTCCAAAAAACTGCTGATGCAATTGACATCCTCGCCCGAACTTTGTTGGTAGGTGCATCACGGGAAGCCTACTAAGCCAGAGAATCGTGAATCAGATAAATCAGAAATAAGTTTTATTCTCCTTACGCTGAGTGCAAGGTAAAAATCATCATTTTTAACATTCCAAAATTATAAGGCTATCTAATATCTAGTGACCAGGGAAAAATAATATAAAGAAAATAGGAGATGTGGTTGAAGCTGCTCCAAAGAAAATAAACTTTACTTCACAAAATACAAGATATGAAAACAATAAACAGTAATATATCTTTTGTGATTATGTCTTGTCATATAACTCAATCAAGCCTTTAAAACATCAAATTGGTTCATGGGAAAGAATGAAAACCTTTACAAGTCATATCATGCAATATAGCCAGGTTCAGCCATTTGACAAGTATAAACACAATAAAGAAAAAACCAGACCTCCATCCATGCCCGTCTAAGAAGCAACCAGAATTGTTTCCACCATCCCCCTTTCTTTTTGCTATAGTACTCTTGCTGAATCTCTTTCTACTTTTTGAGAGGTCCTCTATAGTTATTGGAGTTGCATAATTATTGTGGATAGTTTTTGTGACAGGGACTCAACAAGCCCATCGATCCTTTTTTTAGAAGAATTGACACTTACAGAAGAACTGTAGTCTATGGATATAAGATCGGCCAAAAATTCTGCAGGATTTACATGATCTGGGCAGTGGTACCTGTTTCACCAACAATTATCAACCAGCTGTTCAGAATTAACAGTCAAAAAATACAAATTGTATGTTAAACAAAATTACCATTTCAATCTATTATTCCTTACTTCTTTTACTTCTATTAAGATATTAACAATAAATTAACAGCATGGAGAAAGATATGATGTGGTAGGGTGGAATGAACAAATACATTTGGATTTTCAGTTATGCTCTTTTTAGGCTCATACGCTACATAACTTCATTGTGGTTTGACTAAAAAATAAAAAAAAAACTAGAAATTTTATTGATAAGGAGACTCAAATAAGTAGCATAAGAGATGCGTCATGTTACACGAAGTATACCACTTACCACAAATTTGAATATGAATCTCAGAATATGGATTGGGTCTAATTAAACATTACAAAATTTTGCTTGTAAGGTGAAGGTGCCCAAATTTTATTAACACTACAAGTGCCATAGCTCTAGGCAATGTGGGACGAAATCCATCCCTTCACACCCAGCACAATGGAAGTGTTGGATATTGCAATGAATGCAATGAGCCTGAAACGTGTGATGCGTGAAGCCCGGAAACAGATATAGGATAGGCTCATAAATGACATCTTAGGTTTTTATATTAGACTTAACTCATCCTTACAAAAATTGCTTGTAAAGTGAGGGTTGCCCGAGTTTTATAAACACTTACACAAGCCATATCTCTAAGCAATGTGGGACTAAATTCACCCCTTCATGCCAAACACAATTAAGGTGTTGGATGCTGCAAGGAATGCAACCCAAATGATGCAATTGAGCGGCTAAGGATGGACCGCAATGAAAGAGAAATTTCCAAATTTGAACATTATATTTGAAGTTCTGACAAGCTTCTATAATCTAGATTTCTTGGCTTTTATAGGAGTTTACTGTTTCAAAGAAATTTTCTCAAATAATAGACAGAAAAATCTGTGCTATGTTCTCAACTAGTAAAAAAGAAATCAGTGAAATAGTCTATTAAATATAATATGACGTTAATAGGGCCACAATATCTTAAGCACTACAATAATTGAGATGATTTCTGGTGTAAGAATGTGTGACGGCAAAATATAAATTAGGTTGAGACAATTACCCGAGTTTGGACAAGTACTCCAACGGTTCATCGCGAGCAGGACCGGCATAAACAAGTGAACCCTCAGTTAGCAAGACAATGTCGTCGAATTTGCTATACATTGAACCTCTTGGCTGATGTATAGAGCATATTACTGTATGACCATCGAGTGCAAGTTGTCAGAGAGTTTCCATAACTTTCTCAGCCTGGAAGGCATCAAGTTCTGAAAATAACTTTAAAACAAAATAAGTGGAGAAAAATGATATAATTCTCTGAAAACTGAGCACACGCGGAAGCAACTAGAGGCAAGGAGAAGCAATTAACGCATTATCAACTAATAAAAGAAAACACAATTTTTACAAGAAAAAAACCATCATAGAAAGAAACGAAGTTCTACCTGTGCATATATTATTACATTAGATAGGCTAATAGTCTAATACACAAGAATCCCCCTCCAAGTATAGATCAGTATTAGAATGATCCATTGTGATTCAGCCCCAAAAATTGACTCCCTAAACAAATCAAATGGAGTAAAACCAACCCCTTGGGTATGCAGGAAAAAACAACTTTGTAAGGGAATCAATATGTAGAGTCATAAGTTTGAGGAGATGAACTATTGAGTTTGGAACCACAGTGGAGTTTTCTGGCATTCTGACAATAGATAAACAAATATGAAGAGGCAAGAGTTGGATCATTCAAAGGACTATGCAAGCGCTCAATTGTGAAAGAGAAAATCATTGGATATGTCTTTCCCATTATTCTGTTCATTTCTCGTTAAGAGATAAAATCATTCTTTTCTTTTATTTTCTATATTAGCATTGGGGGTTCCAATGTAGCATATTCAAATTGAAATTCTCGCACCACAAGTATCAAAATAATAAATGGTCATAATGTATTTGAAACTAAACATGCATTTTAAATTTCTTACTAATTACATTTTTGTTCTTATTTTAAGAATGTGCAAGAGGAATTTGCTTTGTGCAAAGTTGTGATACTGTTATACCAGCCATGTGCGTCCAATATATAAAAGGCAAATATCAGATTGTGTAACAACTTATAAGCTTTTATTCAATTCAAAATCCTTGTAAAAATCAGTTCAATATAAAAACTAAAGCACTACAGTATGATACTGGAAGAAAATGTATTTTTTAAACTATATAAAATTGATAATAGAAGCTGGAATTCAATTGAAAATGTATTTTAAACTATATAAAATTGATAATAGAAGCTGGATGTCAATTGAGGCAATCATCATGTCCATACAAATCTGCTCAAAATGGTAAAGCAAAGGGCAAACATAGATTTATGGTTGAACTTAGATTAACATTGCAGGCTCAAGCTAAAATGCCCTCAATTAACAGTTATCATAATGCAGACACCGGTTCTTTAAATAAAAAGCAATGAAACTATTTGGTTGTCCAATTTCATACTAGGAATAGAACACAATTTCATATAAGCAGACGCATTTTCCTTGGCCACAGCAACTCACACAAGGAGTTACAAATGTCTACATTCAACTAGAAGAGTGTCATAATGAAAAGAATTTTCCTTTACTTTCGTACAAAACAGTAGAGAATAACTCAATAGTTAGCCATAACACTTCAGGGTGCTTTACAAGGCACACAAATTCTGGGGAAAAAAAACAAATAAAAGGCTAAAATATAACAGAACAAGTGAACAAAAACAACTCATAGATGAGGGCAAAAGGCCAAAATTTCATCTTCTTCCAGCAATCCTCAACAAAGGAGAAATAATCCCTTGTATCTCTTGCAAAGACTGTTGAATCCGTATCTCCGCCTCGACAGTGCTCTTGAGATTTCTAATATGTTTCTTGAGAACTTCAGAAGCCCTAATATCATCAGCCCTCATTTCAACAACCTTATTAGCCAATCCCATTAACAAACTAGAATACTTGGGGACAGTACAATACTTATGCAAGAAAGCCAAAAGCAGTTCGAGCTTCTCCAAATCCAAATCAGAAACACACCTCAACAGTTTCTTCCTAGACACCAATTCCTCCATCACAGCAACCACATAGCCCGGATTCTTACCTTCCAACACACAAACTAGAGCCTCCCCGTGCCTAAACTTGTTCAAAAGCTTATCATGTGTTGTCAACTTCACTTTCTTCGGCTTCATAACCAAGTAATCACCCTCCGACGGTTTCTCTCCTTGCCCTCTTTGAAAATACCTATAGTAATTACTCTTCAAAACCTTCTTTTCATTACTCTCCACAGGCATAATTCTCCAAAACGCACTACCCTCACTACCCTCACTCTCTGCAATCTCACTCTTGTTTATCTTCCTCTTGGCAGCATAAATTATTCCATTCGAAGTCCCGATCACCCTAGTAGAACAATCCGGTGAATACCCAACAGACATGAGCGGCGCAGGAAACCTCATCGAATAAGTAACCTTCATAGAACCGTAATCGAACACCTTAAAATAACCATCCAACCCGACACTCATTATCCTATACTGATCGGATTCATCTCCTGAATCCTTCCCGATTCGACCAACACAAATGGAAGTCACAGTCTTGTTATGACTCTCCATGGAATAGAGTAACTTCCCACCACCAATCAAGTCCCAAAGCTTAACAGAATTCCCACCAGCCGTCGCAATCATTCCTCCGGAAGGCAAGAAAACAACATCCTCCACAGGAGAGCCATGGTTAAAATCCATTGCAGATTTGGACGAATCCTTAACCCTAACATCCCAAAGCTTGACTAAATGATCATAAGAGCCAGTAACAAAAGTATCAGAATTAACCGGAGACGAATCACCGCATCTGACATAATCCTTATGCCCGTAAAACTGATGAATCATAGTCTCCTCAGCAACATCCCAATACTTGACAAGCGCGTCATCGCCACCGGAAACAAGATGAAGCTTGTCATGATGAGGATAATGAACAAATCTGACAGGCCGATTATGGGACCGAAGACGACGGAGACAAATACGCGTCTGGACATCGAAGACCTGAACAAGACCGGAGAGGTCAGACGCGGCGATGAGGTAAGCATCGTTACGGAAAGAGGCGGACGAGACGACGTCGTGGAAGGAGGAGAAATTGGCGGTTTGGGTGAGGGTTTGGGAGCTGAAGATGGAGAGAGAGGTGGAATTAGCGGCAGCGAAGGAATGAGGAGGAGTTGGTGAGAAGGTGATGGAAGGGACGGAGAGGAGTTTAGGGATTTGTTGGGTTTTGAAGGAGGACCAGTATTTGGATTCGGAGGTTTGCTTTGGAGTTCGTGGTTTGGTTTTGAGATTTGGTTTTACTGGGAAGCTTTTCGATACTTTGCTTTCCTCCATTGATGCAGCTAGACCTAAACCCTTCACTGTCTTTGATCGTTTGATGAATTAGGGTTTAAGGTTTGGGAGGTGGCGGCACTGTAAAATCTTAACACTCAATACACCATGTTCACTCAATTACTGAAATAGAATTTTTTAAACATCGTGCAAAATAATATTTTGGTATTCAATTAAAAATTTTGTTACATTTTTTTTATAACAGGGCCACTCCCTTTTAAATATTTCTTTTTGTTAGATGAAATAAATTACAGATAAAATTTGCGCTTTGGGATATATTTATTACTAGATTAAAAAACATTTAAATTTTAAATTTCTTTTTGTTAATGTTTAGGATTTTAAATTAAAAATAAAGAATAAAAGTATTGTGAAATTCAATTTAGATATTTATAAATTAAAAAAAGTATGATATAAATATATTTGATGAATCGTTTAAAAATTTAGATCTATGAGTTTTTAGTTTCACATAATTGTCTTCATGTAAGATTTTTAGAAAATTTCTAGAGATTGGTATTTTTTTTATTTATTTATATATCTTTTCTTTTTTTTTATTTTGAAAAAAAAATTATTTAAGTGTTGTTGTTGATGATGATACAATCGTGAATTTGTATACGACAAGTCAATGACAGTGGTAAATGCAGTGTTTACGATTTTAGAATAACATGTATTTAGATTTTACTATTTGAAGATGAGAGAACCATCTTTGGAACAACCATCTAGTAGGATTGGTGTATTGAGATCTCATGGTTCTCCTCATCTAACAAACGGTAAAAGTTCCTTCGACTAAGGTCATTTGTGCGTTAAGGGTGTGTCTATCTCCTATTCCATTTTGCTTCTTGAGACTTTGATGACCTGATTCTTTGTGGTTTGGGCCTTTATCCAAATGAGAATAGTAGTCCACAAACTTATATGGACAGAGTTAAGTTATGGTTTTCTCTCGAGACCTCTTCAAATCTTGCTAACTCTTTTGTAGATATAAGTTACATGTGTGATCTTCATTGGATCCAAGAGTACATATCACAGATGTTATACGTTAATGTATGTTTGGATTTTTTGGGAACTCTTTGATACCCGGTCAAAACATGCATCATTATTAACTTTGATTGTCGTCAAGACATGATGGAAGATATTCTCACATTTGTTTGTGGTTATTTTTATTGATAGAGTAACTGTCTAGTGTCAATATTTTTTATGTACATGTATATTATAGAATTGAGTATTATTTGACACTTATACAATGAATATGGTGATTATCATGATGTAAAGTGCAATTTAGATAAATGTAAACCATACATTAAAGAAGGTTGGTAGAAAATCCTAGTAAATCTTTATGTTCTTATGCATATCATAGAATTGAGTGTTATTTGACACTTATACAATGAATATGGTAATCATCATGATGTAGAGTGCGATTTAGATGAGTGTAAATCATACATTAAAGAAGGTTGGTGGAAAATCCTATTAAATCTTTATGTTCTTATGTATATTACAAAATTGAGTATTATTTGATATTTATATAATAAATACGGTGATCTGTTAGTGCGTGAGACACTTTTAGTGAGGAGAGAAAGAGAGAATAATAAAGGAAATAAGGATTTGTATTATTCAAGTGTACAAATAATGATACACACTATGACTATCTATATACAACCCTAATTGGGTTTGGGCTAACACAACTTGGATTATATAAAATATTAAATCTAATCTAATTCAATATTTTAATACACTCCCATAATCCAAGTTGTCGAACATCCTCAAAAATAGTCAATCTGAACTATTCCTAATTTCTTTCTCAAATTCAGGAATCTGTCGATCTTCAATCCTTTGGTGAAAATGTCGGTCAACTGTGCTTCACTTGAGCAATGTCTAACTTCAAGTTCACCTTGATTTACTTTTTCCCTCAAGAAGTGAAACCTTGCTTCAATATATTTACTTCTTCCATGCAGAACTGGATTCTTCGCCAGATTTATGGCTGACTTGTTGTCGATTTGCAATACTAGAGGTTTCTTCACTTCGACAGACATTTCTTCAAGTACAAATTTGATCCAAATTGTTTGGCATGCAGCATAGGATCCTGCTATATATTCAGCTTCACACGATGACAATGCCACCACAGGTTGCTTCTTCGAACACCATGAGATTGGGGCACCAAATACTTGAAAGAAATATCCAGTTGTGCTTCTTCGATCTTCCTTATCTCCACACCAATCAGCATCTGAAAAACAATTAACTATTGCTTCTTTGCCTTCAGAATCTCGTCGAAATAGTATTCCTCAATATATTGAACCCTTCAAATATCGAAGGATTCTTCTTGCAGCCTTCATATGTGACACTCTTGGTTCACCCATATAGCTGCTTACTAATCCGACTGCAAAACCTATATCAGGTCGACTATTGCACACATACCTCAAAGATCCCATAATTTGCTTGAACAAAGTTGCATCGACTCTGTCTTCCTCTCCATTCTTCTCCAATTTCACATTTGGTTCGACAGGTGAGGATGCGGGATTCGAATCATCCATTATGAATCTCTTGAGTATTTCTTTGACATACTTTCTTTGATGTAGCACCATACCTTGCTTCGACATTTGAAATTCCATGCCTATAAAATAATAAAATTTTCCTAGATCCGACATTTCAAATTCCTTCGTCATCAGCTCTTTGAATTTCGACAAGTTCTCCAAACTATTTCTAGTTACTCGCAAGTCATCAACATACAATCAGATGATTGTTATATCTTGTGCTACAACCTAAACATAGACACCATACTCTTATTTGCATTTGACAAATCCTAATTCGACTAAGTATGAGTCGATCTTCTTGTTCCATGCCCTAGGTGCCTGCTTGAGGCCATAGAGCGCTTTGTGCAATCTATATACTTTACTCGCTTCCTTCTGAATCACAAACCCAGGAGGTTGTGTGACATAAACTTCTTCGTCTAAAGGACCATTCAAAAATGTTGATTTCACATCTAGATGAAATGTTGACCAGCCTTGATTGCATGCCAATGCTACTACTAGTCGAACATTCTCTAATCTTGCTACTGGAGCAAATACTTCAGAGTAGTCAAGTCCTGCTCTTTGAAGAAAACCTCGAGCTACTAATCTTGCTTTATGTCTTGCTATTGACCCATCTGCATTGTGTTTCAACTTGAACACCCACTTTACTTCGATATCTTTTGTATGTGTTGGAAATTTGACTAACTCCCATGTGTTGTTTATTTCGATTGCCTGTAACTCTTCGACCATAGCTAACTTCCACTTGTTAATCTTCAAAGCTTCTCTATAGTTGATTGGTTCAGCACCTGCAAGTAAAGCAAAATGAACTAATTCTCCATCTGGTGTGATTTCATCATCACCCATCACTTCATAATCATGAAGTCTTGTTGGAAGAACTCTATTTCTTTGAGGTCTTTGGCTTGTTTCAGCCACAACCTCTTCGACTTCGACTGTGATGAGAGTGTCAGCAACCGCTTCTTCTTCGACTTCGACTGGATTCTCAACAATTCCTTCGACCTCTACTTCATTAGTTTCTTCTTCGAAATCAAAGTTCATTAATGATTTGTTAATTGAATTGCTAGAATTCCAATCCCATGCAAAATTTTCATTAATCACAATATCTCGACCCAACATAATCTTTTCATTAACTGGATTGAATAGTCTGTATGCACCGGTTTTATGATATCCTACCAGAATCATAGGTTCACTCTTGTCATCAAGCTTCCTTCTCCTTGCATCAGGAACATGCTTGTAACACATAGAGCCAAACACCTTCAAGTGACTTACTGATGGTCGTTTTCCACTCCACACTTCTTCAGGAACCTTGTTCTTCAATATCTTAGTAGGAAACCTATTCAAAATATAAACTGCAGTCGAAACAGCTTCTCTCCATAAAGATTTTGGCAAATTCTTTTGCTTCAGCATGCATCTTGCCATATCTAATATGGTTCTATTTCTTCTTTCAGCAATTCCATTATGTTGAGGTGTGTAAGGAGAAGTTACCTCATGATCAACACCATGTTCTGCACAAAAATCTTCAAACATCTTGGATGTGTATTTGCCACCTCCATCTGTTCGTAGAACTTTGATCTTCTTCTCACTCTAGTTTTCGACAAGTATCTTGAATCTCTTAAAGATTTTGAATACTCCGTCCTTTCGTTTGATCACATAGATCCATAGCTTTCGACTAAACTCATCGACAAAGGAAACAAAATATATGTTTCCACCAATTGTATGTTCTTCAAATGGACCACATACATCTGAATGCACCACTTCGAGAATGCAGGACGATCTCATTGACATAGTCGAAACGAAAGAATTTCTGGATTGCTTTCCCACTAAACAACCTTCACAAAGTTTTTCAGGCATCTCAAGACTTGGAATACCAGTAACCATATCTTGAGTAATCAGTTGATTAAGTGATCGGAAATTCAAATGTCCAAACCTCAAATTCCACAACCAACTATCCTTGTGGTCGAAAACAGTTTTCAAACATTGAACTTCTGTCGAACTGATCATAGTCTTAAATGTCCTGTTCTTTGACAATGGAGATTTTAAAACCAAATTGTTCTTAGTGTCGAACAATTTCAAAACGTCGTCTTTCATGACAACTGAGAAACCTTTTTCAACTAGTTGCGTCCTTATCATAAGTCCATGTATGCGCCCACACCAAACTCAAGTGCACCCAGAATATTGTATTGGGCCTTCAAACGTACCTTAAGCCAATGCCTATATTATTAACACCTCCAAGCTATTTTGTTTTACTATCCCAATGCAAACACTCACCCCCTTGTTGTTCTGTTCTGGGCCAAGTCCAACATTTGGACTTGAACCCTTACTCTCTGAACACCCCAATTTTACTACATAGTTTAAAACCACACCCCTTTGTGATTTGGACCTAAATCCAATATCTGGATTTAGGGTTCTGCTTTTTACACCCCCTGAATTTACTATTCCAAGTAAAATACACCCCCTGACGTTTTTCAATTAAAACTTTATTTTTTA